CACCGCGGCAAGAACCGGTGTATACACCTTCCGTGCTCATGGTCAGTTGTACCACCGTCTAGACCATCTTCTACCTGGTGATCACGGACCCAGACATTTGCAATTGTACATTTATGATGCAGATGAAGCCTTAGAACATAGGGTGAAACGCTCTCCAGATCTAGATATCAACCTCATACGGAAGATTCTGCGTATACTGGAGAACAACTCATATGTCAAGACTTTTAAGAGCCTTGGTTCAGTTCCAGACCTAGCGGAATATAAAATTACACTCAACACAAATATAAAATTGGACCAGCGGAGGTACAATGCCCCTACAGCTTCACAGGTGGCTGCAATGTGGGTTGAGGGTACTGACCCGCAACACACTTTTGATAGAAGTGTTATTGTGCATGCAAAAGGGGACCGTCCTTTGTACATCAGAGCCTACTATGGATGCTATGATCCTTTGGCGTACCCATTATTGTACCCGGTTGGGGAGACAGGATGGTAACAAATTTGTTCGTCCAATTTGCATGGTGAGTGTTCTATATCACACATTCATAAAAAGTTTGAAGCAAAATTGCATCCTAACATCATGCATTGCTCATGTAGGATGGTTATGAGTTGAGAAAGAATATTTTGATACACTTGCTCGAGTATGATGCAAATGAAGCTGAAGACAATATCCCATATGATGTACAAGAAATTCTCAAGTGCCTCAAGTAGGAAGTTAATAAGAGATGATAAACTGGACTTGATATCTACGCATTGGTAGTCACACTGTAGTATTTTTTATCAAAATTTATTTTTCATCTCCATGGATTTGTTTACTGTATTTGCCATATGTTGTGGCTATTTATTTATAGACATGAATTTTGCGGTGCAATATGTTTTGGAGACTGAAAAAATTAAGCTCCGGCACAGCACAGATGCAGTCATTATCTTCTTTTCAATTTTATTATGCTCTTTGGGTTGGTAACAAATATGTGCAAAGGCATGTAAAATATATAGTCTTCCGGCTGTCATAAAACTCTTCGGTCGGTATCCACCGACCCATTGCTGTCAAACCCTACCTATATGGATTTGCATGCTACTTAATAATGCATGTGCAATTCACGTTCTACGGGTCTGGACAAGGGAATGGCCACAAAAATTGACGTGTTTGTCTTCTATCTCTAAATAAAAAAGGCTATATATGCAAAGGCAGGCTTATTTGTCTTTTCTTGATTTGTAATATTTTCCGGTGCAACCAAACTATCTTTATATGCATGTTATTCTCATATATACTTGGATATTAATCGAGATGTGCATTTGCACGTGCACGCTTACTAGTACTGAACAAACAGAACAACCCTCACGCGTCTAAGTTGCTGGTTCAGACATTCTACTGAAACTGAAGAAACAAGGAAGGCAACTAGGCAAGGCACACTGATTTTTCTGCAGCACCAGCCATGAGCTATCAAGACCTACGTACTTCTCAGCGACAAAAGGGAGTGCTAACATCCCGCCGAGCGCAGCTGCATCTCGACTGATCGAGCACGCAGTCATGGAGGAACGACCAAACTGTACAAGGCCATGGTACTTGGCAGCCGCGTCTCGTAATGCATCTATGCCAGATTGCTATGTCCGTGTGTTGATCTACGTAGAAGCGTCCTTTGCATGATTATGTGTGCAGTGTGGAACTTATGTCTCTGCTTTGGCTGATTGCTTTTCAAAAGAAGATAGGGAGGTCAGCAGGAGCGTACTGTCAGCAAGAGCCAGCGATATAAAATGATCATCGACAACCCGTCTTACTTGACAACAAGAGCAACAAGGACGTTGATTATAGTCACATATTGTATAAATTTTGATTTGATGCATATAGAACAAGGCATTATGCAATTCCATAGTGTGTCATCCAAGCAAGATTTGGTATTGAAACCTCACTGGGAGTCCATGGGCCAATTTCATGACATCCAAACAAGTGAAATCGTATTCATGCCCATTACAGTTTCCTCACTAAATTGGTATTGAAACCAATTCAATACGGAGTCCTTCAATACAGACATCCAAACGCAGCATAAGGCACATCAGGATGTGTCTGTGAAATGCAGGAAATAGGGTCTGTCAAGTCACCCCAGCCGGTGTGCCGGACACGTCGGGCGTATAGTGGCTCAAATTAGATGACCGCGGTTATAGATGCCCCAAGTATAGTTTTATACAACTTGCTTTTTGCTTGAGCGGAAGCGGGGGATAATAATGTGGAAATCGCGCCTGCGCACGCGTAGGAGACAGGAACATGGGGGCTCGACGGTGAAAGATTGAGGGGTTGTTTGGATTGTGACTATGGTTGTCATATATTGTCATATTATTTTTGTCACATTTTCCACACTTGCCTAACTTAAGTTGCTCAAATTGTTAGCCAAACTTTGGCTTGCCTAAGAGAATCTTACTACACTTTTTGTGTTTATAACATGTGGGGTTTACTGCTCATAAAAAAAATTCTTGCCTTAGATGTGGCTAGAACCAAACACACACCTAACTTGATCAAGTTTGTCTAAAATGAGATGTGATAAAGTGTGACGAGATGTGACTAAAAACTAAACAGCCTCTGAAAGTGGCAACCCGAGGCGACGGCGACGGCGCCCGCGCGAGATGAGAAAAAGAACGAGGCACAGCGTGCCATTTTTCTCACCAACTGAAAGTCGCCCGTCTACGATACGGTCGCAGTTTCAGGTATGGCCCAGTGGCAGCCAAAGTATGGACTTAGCTTGAGTAGAGTCAAACAAAAGCCAAACCACCAGTCAAAATAAACGGTCCATACGACTCGCAGCCGAGATCCGACGGTCAAGATAATCTCAAGAGGGAGTGGCCTGAGAGTGTTCCGTATCCTGCGGGCTGAAGGGTTAGCCATACATACGTCTGCTCTTTCTTCTACAGATCCATTCCATGGCGGTCGGCGCGACCACTAACGAAAGAAGGCTCCATTGACTCAGCTATGTTACGGTGTCCATTCTCCTCAAGTGGTATGTCTCCATGTCTTTACTTCTCTCTGTTTTTACCCCTAGATATTAGCACTTTCGGTTTTGAATTCTTCACTTCTTTGTTCAATCGATTTCAGCATGTTCTCTTCATTTTTAAAACTTTGTTTCATTTTTTCGGCTAGGAAGCAATTATGTAGAATTACCCAGATCATATCATGGTGCTGTTATTCAAAATCCATGGCAGAAATGAACAATAAAAATTGTTAGAGAATAGGCCCATGGCCCCGGGTGAGAATTTTTGCTCGGAGCCTGAAATTTTGCAAAAATCCAAACTCACCAGCTTACAACATTCAGATCATACAACACCCAGCCAGCAAAACAACCAGACCGCAACAAGCTACAAATTAACAATACATAACGTATTAAACTATAAGTTATACAAACACACGTGATTCTCTGCATCGTTGTGTAAATATGTAAACTAGAAATCCAAATTGCTTATCTTCGGCACCAAGAGGATGATTAATCCAAGGAAATTAAGCACTCTTACGTGCTTTGTTTATTTTGTTTCCTTGATTATTAGAGCAACTCTAATGGGGCGACCCATTTCGTCCGCCGCCATCCATTTGGGTCGGCGCGGACACAAAAGTCAGCCCAACGTGCCGACCCAAACGGACACGCATCTACTTTTCGTCCGCGGGCTACCCATTCCCGACCTATTTTTGAGCCGGATTTGCGTCGGCGCAGACACAAGACGGACGCGCGTGCTCGCCCTCTCCCCTTCCGGGCCCGCTGGTCGGTGGCACATTGGCCTCCCCTCTCGCCCCAGCCAACAACAACCCTCGCCCGCCTCTTTCGTCGCCGACGCCACCGCCCATTTTTTGCCGGCGACTCTGCCAGCTGCCGCCGCCCACTCCCCCGTCGCCCGCCACTGCCGTTTTGCCGCCGCCGCTCCCCTCACCGCACAACCGCCCGCGACCAAGAAGCCGCCTCGCCGCCCCAGTCAGATCTGACCGGCACACTCGTCGGACGCCAGCCCACTCATCGAATGCCGGCAGGGCAACTAGCTGATCCGTGCACGCCGCGACTCCCCTCGTCGGCCGTCTCCTTCTTCGACGCCCGCAAGCTGTTCGACAGTTTGCCAAGGTACGAAATGGACTCCGCCGATGAGTTCTTCCACAATTTCCTTTACGACTCCGATGATTCGTCGTCTGATGATGAGGAGGAGATATTGGCTGCCGTGTTGGTCCATCACCACCTAAACAGTCAGTGCCCGTTGTTCTGTGGCTTCATTTCGGGCCACCTTCCGGCGTTAAATTGCAACCGAGAGAGTGGGCATTTCCTTCTCTGGAAGGACTACTTTGATACAACAAACCCGTTGTTCAAACATCATAAATTCCGCTGCGTTTCCGTATGAGTAGGCATGTTTTCAACCGTATTAGAAAGGGAGTGATCGGCTATGATGACTATTTTGAGTGCAAAGAGGATGCCGTCGGCAAGATTGGTTTCTCCTCTTATCAGAAATGCACTGCCGCCGTTTGAATGCTTGCATACGAAGTGCCCGGTGATCTCATTGACGAGTACGTCCGCATGAGCGTGATTGGGAAACTCACGTGCAGCTGCAAAATGATTTGGTTGAGTATATGTGGGCTCATGTTGGCAACCAATAGATGCATCTTCTTTTATTCGTTTGCAAAACTATGTGAAACATTTTTATTTGTACCCGGCTTATAAAACTATACTATTATTCGGTAAACTATGTTATTTGACAATATGTTTGAATGCAAATCAATGTAATATTGGGCGGCCAGTCGGCCACGCCGACACATATGGGTCGGCGTGTTGGGCGCGCTGCCGACCCAAATATAAAAGAGGGCGGACGCCGGGTGGGCGGCCGACCCAAAAGGACAAAAAGCGGACGAAATCGCCGTCTGTTTGGGTCGCCCCATTGGAGTTGCTCTTATGTTGGATTAAATTTGACTTTTACCACTACCAAAACTGTTTCTAGGTCAAATTGTCTTCCAACGTTGAATAAGTTCCCTACTACTTCCAAAGATGGATCATCCAGAAAATATAGTAACACAACTTATCCATGAAGAGCACAGATCAAAATGGATAGCACGTAGCAATCATAATGTGAAATGTTTTACAGAAGATGAGATAAAAAGATTTACCGACAACTATAAGACTTTACTCGGTAGAGGTGCCTTTGGAGAAGTTTATCAAGGAGTCCTTGAGGACAAAAGTATGATTGCAGTCAAGAGGTTTATCTACAATGTAAGAGAAAGTTTTGCCAAAGAGTTGATCGTCCACCGTGAAATCAATCACAAGAACGTAGTCAGATTAATTGGCTATTGTGTAGATGAAAGTGCCCTAATGGTGGTCACGGAGTATATTCCTAAAGGAAATCTGAGTAACATCCTTCACCAGGATAGTATGCCCATCACTTTGGATACACGGCTAAGAATTGCAATTGAATGTGCAAAAGCATTGGACTATATGCATTCACAAATGTATACTCAGATCATTCATGGTGATATCAAGCCTGCTAATATACTTCTGGATGATGGACTCGGTGCAAAAATATCAGACTTTGGAATATCAAGACTAATCAACACTGAAAATACTCTATATACTCTAAATGTGATAGGAAGTATAGGCTACATGGACCCTCTGTTTGCTCAGAGTGGCCGCCTCACAGCAAAGAGTGATGTTTACAGTTTTGGAGTTGTGCTCCTGGAACTGATAACCAGAAAAAAAGCAAGAACAGAGGATGGGGAGATTGGCTTGGTTGAAAGTTTTAGTCAATCTCTTTCAGAAGGGATTAGGAGGGTGAGGGAGATGTTTGATTCTGAAATTGCAACATCGAGCGACATGAAGACTATTGAAGAGATTGCTAAGTTGGCAGGTAAATGCTTGAAGATGGAACTTACCAAACGTCCTCACATGTTAGAAGTTGCAGAACGTCTTCGCAAACTTAAGAAAGCTGCATGTCAGGTACAAGAAAGACCAACTCTGTTTTCTTGGATATGGAAAAATAAACAAGCTCCAGCCAAAACACCACCACTAGAAAGCAGCAGCAGTAGCCAAAACGCGAGAACTGTAGCTCCAGCTGAAAAGATGCCATCACAAGAAAGCAGTGGCAGTACCCTCAAAACGGGAATTGTGGCTGCACTCAAAGCGGCACTATCACAGGTAAGCCATGATAGTACACAAAATGTGGGAACTTCTATCATTGGGTCGACAATGACAGGCCAATTGTTCGACCTGAAAGACCTGCTTGGGGCATCGACTGAAGTTCTGGGCAAGGGTACAATCGGGACAACATACAGAGCAACACTAGATAGTGGATATGAGCTGGTGGTCAAGAGGCTGAAAGATGTGGACTTGGAGGAGGCGGTCTTTAAGCGGCTTGTTACGTTGTTTGCTGCCATCCAGAACAAACACATAGTGCCACTTCTATGGTATTACTGCAGCAAGGATGAGAGGTTGCTAGTGTATAATGTAGTCCCCATGGGTAGCCTAGCAAAAGTACTCCACGGTAATGTATACACTGTACAATGATCATATGCCTGCCTTTACATTTCCTGAAGTGTTTGATGCATCACTAATTTCATGATATGTGAATCTAGGCGACCAAGGTTCTGGCCCAGCTCAACTGGACTGGGAGCAGCGGTTGGCTATCTCACTAGCTGCTGCGCGTGGTGTGCAGGCTATCCACTTAGCTGGGCCATCAAGCTGCCATGGCAACATCAAGTCTTCCAACATCCTGCTCACCGGAACTCACAACGCATGTGTGTCGGAGCATGGCCTGATAACACTTGGTATTTATTACAATGCCTCCGGCTACTGTGCACCCGAGGTCACCCGCAATAGGTGGGTCTCCCAGAAATCTGACGTCTACAGCTTCGGCATCCTATAGCTGGAGCTTCTCACCCGCAAGTCTCCACTGAGGAAGAGATTTCAGGATGACAAGGGAGTAGATTTGCCACGGTGGGTGTGTTCCATTATACCTGAGGAGTGGACGGCGGAGGTATTCGACGTGGAGCTCCTAGCATGGGGGCAGAAGGATGGGAAAGAGGAGTGCATGGTGCGACTTATGCAGCTCGGGCTAAAGTGTTGCAGTCAAGATACTGACTCGAGGCCTACAATGTCTGATGTCGTGCAGCGGATTGAGGAGATCGGACAGTCCTAATTGCTGACAAAGAACCTCACACATCATAGTGAGTGAAAGTTGCCGGGTCACAGTTGCATTCAAATGTCATATATTTTCAGTACCACCTTTCAACTGGTTATCCCAGAGAACGATAAATAAATTTTGACGATGAAGTTATCTCAGAGAACTACTATCCTGAAAAAGACTTTCACTGCTAGTTTGTAAATTGTAATCGATCAACTGTCCTACATGTTATTGGCATATATACCCTGCACTTTTCCAAATAAAAATAAAAATTGGCATATATGCTCTACACTTTTCCAAATTAAACGTTGGGTTCATGATTCTACCAGCTAAGCTGGGATGCTTAGACATATGTGAAGACTAAAAACCTGCTAAATGTTTGCTTTACAGATTGATTCATACCAATCTGCGCTAATATGTTGATTCATCTTCCCAATTGTCATTGGCTTAATCTTCCTAGGATGAGGCTAATATCATTGTGTTGATTGGGATTGTATAATGCAATCTTCTTCGTTTTCGATGGATGCATATGCAGGTTGTTTAAATCAACTAGTTCAGGCATCTTAGTGGTTGTTAGTTTTTTTATATAAAAAAACTCTCCATTAGTTTCTCAGTAACTTTAAGTGCCATAAGAGCAGAACGTCAAATGAATTGGCAAGGTTTTAAGCATAGTACATGAAGTTTAAGTGTGTTGGGAACTAGGAAAAATAGACGACCCGAATGAAAATTTGAGTTTGTCAGTCTAGATTAAAGTTGGTACTGAAATTTTGATCTAAACGATCTTATATTTGTTTACAGAGGGAGTACATCGTATAAAAATAATAATTTGAACTGATCTAGTCATCTAAATCGGTGAATTATACACATAAATTTATAATACTGATATGGTTGCAGACAAAACAAAAAAGTTAGAAATGAAAGAACCCTAATGATCTACTATATGGCTTACTTGATGTCAATTAGAACGCTGAAATTACACAACCGGTGATGAGGCTGTGTTGTGGCGGCGGCGCACAAGCGCAAGAGATGGGCGACGGCAAGTCGCTGATTGCCGGCCGCAAGCCAAGCCGGATACTGCGTGATGCTGCGATCGCGCGATAGGCAGTTTCGGGCGGCTCCGCAGGTGCCGTATCATGCGTTGTGCTTTAGCAAAACTGTTTTTTATATATGCGTGCGTGGACTAGGGGTCTGATCCATCGAATCGTAGCGTTCGTGGCCGACGTAGCCTAGGCTGTTTCTTGGCGGTGGGCTTCTTATAGCCTTTAACAGATTTAGAATATATGGGCCTTTGAAAATAAAAAAGAAATTGGGCTGAGTGGGGGCAAAGCAATGGGCCAAGTGGGGGCACACGTTGCTCGGCAGGATCGACGTAAGTGTACGATGGAAAATCGAGTGGGGGCAGCTGTCCCGGGAAAGTATCTGGTGCACCGGTCCTTGTGGTGCTACCGGTGCACCGACACCGTATCACGTTAGAAAATATTTCAAAAAAAAACTGAAAAAATGCAATATATTGACATAACATTGGTCTATGTTGTCGCAAAATTTCAACTCAAAATTCGAAACATTGCATGAGATACAAAAATGATAAATTTGGCATCAATGTGATAATGGGCCAAATCTTAAAGCCCAACTTATGTTATGTACTATTTAGTGTCAACTTTGTGATCTTTTTACCTCAAGAAATATTTCGAATTTTGACTTGAAATTTTGCGACAATATAGATCGATGTTGTAAGAATGTGCTGATTTTTTTTCAATTTTTTTCCGAACAATTTTAAATGCAATATGATAGTCCGGTGCACCGGTAGCACCACAAGCCCCGGTGCACCGGATACTTTCCCCAGCTGCCCCCACGACCATCAACGTGCGTCCGCCCCTGTACGTATCTAGTTTTTGTATGTGTACGTGCATGGGTTCAACTTGGGTTGCTAGATGATACAAAAGAGTAGTTGCAGTTTTATGTATCCAGTACAGTAAAGACGCATACATGCACCAAGATAAAGTCCATGTATCTTGTCTCTGTGTACTCAATTATTTTTATAAGTTTTTATAAAATATTGCATGAGTTTTAAACTGGGGGCGCACCGGTAGCACAAAAGCCTCGGGTGCACTATGTCCTCGATGAGCCTATGCTCACCTCTGGGTTACCGCTACATACATGTTACAATTCATAGTTCCAAATTGGCACCCAAACTAATAAAAGCAAATGTAATTCTTCACCATGTAAGTAAAATCATCTTGGAATTTCAGACGACTCTATAAAATCCTTTTCCAAGCTGTACAGTCTAGTTTCTTCTCCGCCTTTACTTCCCTTGTATGGTTGATCATTTATAGCATTTCGGTTCACTCTTGTGATCTGAGAACTAAGATTGACTCTTGAGTTCTGAACATCTTCAAGTACTGTCTCCACTTGTCTCATTGTAGGCCTTTCTTCACCTTTTAAACTTAAGCATGCTTCTGCGAGTCTTGCAACCACCTCAACATCTTCAGCCCCTCCCTCCTCAACAATTTGTGCATCTAGAATATCTGAGAATCGATTGTCTCTTATATGTGATACAAAATGTGATGCTAGGCTTGTCCCTTCTGATGAATGAGAAGAAAAAACTGGTGTCACCCTTGTCAGTAGCTCTGCTAGGATGACACCAAAGCTGTAAACATCGCTTTTCTCCGTGAGTCGACTAGTGTAGTAGTATTCAGGATCAAGGTAACCATGGGTTCCTTGGACAGCTGTAAGTATTCCTGTCTCATCTATTGCAATAGACCTCGAAGCTCCAAAATCTGATACTTTTGATGTCAAGGTATCAGTAAGTAGTATATTTGCACATTTGATATCTCTGTGGTATACTGATATTGAAGCAGCAGAGTGTAGATATGCAATGGCCCTTGCAGTTTCTAGTGCAATCCTCAACCTATCTTTCCATGATAATGGGTTCTCACTTTGGCCATGGAGATGAAATGAAAGAGCTCCATTTGATATGAATTTGTAAACAAGTAGAGGAACTTCTGTCTCAAGGCAACAACCAAAAAGCTTCACCACATTCCTATGGTTTGTCTGTGAAAGTATGACAACCTCGTTGATGAACTGGTCGATTTCCCTTTGTACAATAATTTTGGCCTTCTTGATGGCCACAATACGTTGATCAGATAAGATGCCTTTGTACACCGTGCCATGGCCACCTCCACCAAGGATGCGATTATGGTCAAATTTGTTGGTCGCTTGCTCCAGTTCTTCCAAGCTAAAAACCCTTGTTCTTTCGGCTATATCGTTGTTTGAAGAGATTAACTGTTGTAGAAGCAATCCATGATTTTTCTTGAAGAATTTTTGTCTCAACTTTTTGGCTCTTCGTTGCTTGAGTTTATTAGTGATTTTGGCAGCACCCAGAAGTGAAAACAGTAACCCAAAACCAGCAGTTACTGCAATTGCGGTAATTAAACCTGCAGAGAATGGCAGTGAGGTTTGATAGTACATAATATGCCACAGACACATTTAAATTTTGAACTGAAAGTTTGAAACTGCTCAACAATACCACTTCAATGATTTTTTTCGAATATTTATCAGAGCAAACATATTGGAAGTAACAAAAAATATATTTCAGGAGTGGTCACATGGTTTACTAGCTTAAGAAGCACATAATAGTCATTATTTCATTTGTTTATTTGTTGTTGTAGTAAAAAGGTGTGATTAGGGGTGCCTTCAGCAAACTGGTTGTAATCAAGTTATCATGGATGTCGTTGGTAAGGCAAGCACAATGAATATTTAATTAGGGGGGTGTACAACACCCTTATGGCAAAGGTCATCATACACCGACAAGATTAACACGTCGATATTTTTTGAATATGTTTGCTGCCTCGAAGAAGCGCAACTAGTCCTATGCTAGGAAGGTGTAGAGAGAGGTTTGGTCACATGCCCCAAGTCGGTCAGGTTCCTCAGTGCCCTTTCCAAGCTTCTCTTCCTTAACATTAGTCTGTGTGAATGAGATTCCACGGACATGACTCTAGAGCTCCCACGGCGAGGCACGGTCGCCCAAGACCATGTGCGAGCGATGCGACCGCACAGGGTCCCCAAATCCAAGGGGGCCCAATTTTGGGCCATATATATTTCTCGTTAGGCTATTTCATTTCTTTGCACTCTTTTGGGCCTGCCAGCCTGGTTTGATCGCCCGAGCTTCTTCCCGATCGATCGATCACACCGAGCCTCTCCCAAACTCCCTGTAGGTCAACAAAATCACGCCACACGATTGGTTTCTAGCCTTCCCAGGTACGACAACTTGATTGAATCTGCTTGGTGGTGGCACAACCGCAAGGAGCAGGATGGCAGGGCAGATGGCATAATTCGTTTAACAAATTCGAACGAAAATAAGCGGCGGCAAGGGCCAACGTGGCCAAGAAAAGCAGTAGGGGTTCGGCGGTCCAGCACACAGGCTTAGGCTAGATCGATTTGGAGATTTAATTTTAGGCATCACAGATCAGTCCATGTCCATCAGGTGCGCCCAAGCAAACCAGATTTATTTAGGTCATTTTTCCAGTTCAATAATTGAATGGCTAGTGAATATAGTGTACATGTGCATCAATTCTTGAGTTAATTAACAAATTGCTAAATGTTTATCGCTCCATGGATGAATTCTTTAGGGAAGATAGTTGGTGTATTAGATCTATTTCATAATATTGTACGAAATACCACACATTTAGAGGCAATATAACTTAACTGTGAATATGCTTTAGTTGTATTAATTTTCCAGTTATAAGAATTTTTAGATTGTGGGGCATCATTTGCATTTTGCACCTGGGTCCCGAATTTCTGGAGACGACCCTGCGGCGAGGCTTGAAGCTCTCTAGTGCCCTCCCCTTGAGTTTATTCAAGTGAGAGTTAGTTAGCTACATGTCCATGGGAGTTTATATAGGCTAGGGGTACTTGAGAAGTTATCAAGACTGCCCTTGAAATGGTAGGTGGGGAGGTCAAAAAAGATAACCTTTGGTTCATAGGTCCATGGTGGACAAAGGGAGAGAGAGGAAGGGAGGGACAGAGAGGAGGCAAGTCCATAACCCTACAGTGGACCAATCACTCTCGTACCTCTGCCATGGTGGGCTTGAATCTTTACTTGGGCTTCTTTGCTCTCCTTTATCCATTTGACTTTGCATTCTTATGTATTTTTTATTTCTTGTCTTCTTAATCATGACAAGGGATTGACTTGTGTTCACTTGGTTGTTCCTTGATAATCAACTTAGTGTGTGCCTTCTCGGGCTAAGTAGGAACCCGGGGTGTTATTGATTATTCCTACAACATTGTTATTTATTTATATTTATTCCATTTTCTCTTTCTTTTTGAATGGTCAACCAACTGATGATTTCAATGTTCAAGTAGTAGAAAAACTGATTTTAAAATCAAAAGATGCAGTAGAAGTATTTCTGCAGCTGTTCTACTGGTACACTACTAGCTATGCCCGCGCGGAGACACGCCGCGCCCCATCAATACATTACGTGTGTCGTGGTATTTTTATTTTGTGTGAGAATTTAGACCAAAAATACTTTTATGCACATATGTTTGTAGTCACGGAAACGAAAGTCATGCATTGAAGTAATTTGAAAAATACACATTTATCATCACCATATTTATATAGAAAGAAACACTCCAGAAATTTTGGAAGAAGCGGTGTCGAGAGTCTCAACACAACCACACCTTATGATTTTAGCGCGGGACGCAACTACGTGCATGGGAACATGTGGTCATATCATGCATCCATGCACACGTGGTCATATCATGCACCACGTTAGTTATCATGCAAAAGGTAGCAATGTAAGAAGCAAACCCACGGATCTCTACACCCACAAAGGGCATTTACAATGGGAGAGGGGCGCTTTTTTTGGGTGCTTAGAACATTATAAAAAAATTAACGAAGGAAGAAGCGCCGATGGAGAAGTCTGCCTACTGGAGCACTACTGTAGTCGGTTGAGAATCTGATGCGCTCGTTAGAAAGGATCACGTGAAAAAAAGGAGGCCAGGCACCCGACGACTGGCTTGGCATCCATGCCAGCTAGAATCCTGGGAACGTTCAGGATTTTTACGAAACGACCAGCAATTGGAACCTAGCGCCTTATCTTAGCACCTGCATTGTAGATACCCTAAACAACGAAACATGGATCACACATCAACAAACAATTGGCAATCCACCCAAGAAAATGTGCCCAACAAAATCCCTGAATAATTCAACATAGATTAGTCCAATGAACACAAACAGAAGTTCAAACACAAAAACCTCTTCAAAAAGGCAAATCAAAGATAGACATATTCATTGAATGGTAAAATAAATTTTAGACAAACAAATACCTTTTTGTAAATAATAACCAAATGGAGAAAACAGGCAGCACAAATAGAACAAACAAAATGGTACAATATGTGATTTCAGTAAAAAAAATTGTAGAAGTTTTCACTAACCAAATAAAGCAATTGTATAATCAATTAACTAAATAGAGAGTCAAAGATAGACAGATTCATCGAGATATAGAAGATTCATCAAGTGGTAGAATACAATTTTGACAGATAATTACATACCAATTTAAAATAATAGAAAAATGGGAAAATTGTGCAGCACAAGTAAAACAAATAAACTGGTTACGATTTCAGTAAAAAAAAATGTTGGTAGAAGTTATTTCACTAACTAAATGAAGCAATTGTATAATCAATTAAGTGCAAATAGGCATTGAACAATCAGTTGTATCAAGTAATACTCCTATTATGAGAGAAATTGATACTTAGTGGAAGAGATCCATGAATGTTTACAGCAATCTACAAATCAGATTCAGACTTGAGGGAAAATTATGTCTAGAAACTACATTTTATACCAATTTATTTAAGGAAGACCACACATGTCCAAGATTGTCTATTATCTAAGCACTAAGCAAGTTTGGAGCATGATTTTGCCGAGACCTCCACAGATGTCATTTCATCACAAAAATTGGCACGCATGTGAAAGATACATAAATGTTTGTTGCCAAAAAGTTTCAGATTTTTTGATTTCTAAAAAGATTGATTTTACTGTAGCAAAGGGTGCATGTGAGCTCGAGCTCACATACTCCATGCCCCTATACATACACATACACACGTATATATAACTTCTAGAGTTGTAATCACACCAGGAATAAATCAAGTAAACAACAGCCACGTAACATGCCCATGTTTTTTTCTCTTCAAAGAAGTGTCAGGAGCTCTGTCATTTCTATTAGGATGAGTGAGAAATAGTATATAATCAGACTACAGATACGGCAGGCTTTAGAAAGCACACGAAAAGCGGCACCGATTAAAGAAAATGATATAGTCAAAACGACAGCGACAAGAGAGGGAAGCACAGAAGAAACAATGTCGTACGGATTGTTCCCCAGCCAGCAAAAAACACTAAACTTACCAAGCAAAACTGTACGCTAGTTCAAAAAATTTGAAACAAAAATCTAGGCACACCACTCATTTCTACACAGCCATATACCAAAATAATACATGTGCCATATTCATATTTACCCATGGGCCATTTTCAGCCAAGTGGTTTAACCTTAGAGCAAAAACTTGGTTAGATATAGTGGTTTTGGTATATAACAAATTAACAGCTACTCCTCTGTTCAAAATTAATTGAAGATTTATGTTTGTCTGAAGTCAAACTTAAGTTTGACCATGCATACGCAAATGTGTACTGAGATCTACTCCCTCTGTTTCAAAATAGATGACCCAACTGTGTACTAACTTGAGTACAACATAAAAATATTGGTGCATTTTTTTGTAGACTTGGTCAACTTAAACAAGTTTGACTTAAGACGAGCTAAAACTTAAATTAATTTGGACCTGAGAAACTCCTTATACCAAGCAAATGAGTTGTATTTGTACCTGGGAGGCTGATGATACGTTTCTTTGTTGCACATCGGTATGTCCCCGGCATATTAATGCAGGTCCCATGCACACATGGATAAACTGGCTGTTGGCACTCATCGATATCTAGAAGGGAGAGGAAAAGGGAGTAAACAAAAAAGGAAAGCTCAAAACCAGGGTGACGTTGTAAATAAAAAAATGTAATGATGTTTATCAAGTAAGTTTCAAGTGCAGTTGAATCCTCAATAAGATTAACACAAAGGCTATAATTCATGGTACATTACAAAATCAACAAGATAAAAGGGAGGAGAAAAAGAAATACTCCCTGCAGGAAGCAATGGAACCACTGTACTAAACCACGTCACTTATTTTAGGACGGAGAAGTAGTATTTAGCAGAACTCGGGTATCAGTCATCAACCGCTTGTTGAATTCAAAGTTGATTCTAAGATACTACTATAAGAAAGCAATGGAACCCTGTTAGTCGATATCGACGTGACTAAGGGCCTGATCGGAAACCCCCCAACTCCGCTCTGTGCCAACAGTGCACGTAGAGCCAGCTACGAGAAGTAGTGTTTGGCCGTA